TCCGTAGCAATTAGTATCCGTAGCTAATCTGTAGGTATTATACCTACGGAATAGGCCGTAGCTATTCCGTAGCTACTCCGTAGCAAATCTGTAGGTATAAATTTCCTACGGACATTTATGCTACAGGCCATTATCCGTAGCAAATCCGTAGGTATTGCCTTATACCTACAGATTGTGTCGTAGCTATTTCCCTATTTTTCTAGTAGTGCTTATAATTTACATATTACAGTATATTAAATGGGAAGGATCTTTTTTTAGAGGTATGTTTTCTGTGAAGAACATGTTTTTAGTGAAAAGAGCTGAAAAAAAATATATGGGATATATGGATTTTAGAAGTGGATTATAAGATATATTTTAAATTTAATTCATTGATATACTTCTTTTTAATATTTAAACAAAATGCAAAGTATAAAATTTGGAAGATGGTTTTATTCTATTATTTTTTGGTGACAACTTACAAATCTGTCGACAGCTAAGTACCAAGTCTCATATCGTCGGACGTTATGTTTCCATTTGCGTAGTATTCTAACCTGTAGGGGGCCTCCAATACCATCAGTCTTCAGTTCTGAGATGCTGGTCATGACTTGCCTATGTTCTCTGATAGGAAGAAATATGTGGAAATGATTGTTATATTCAGATGAGGACGTTGTGAAAGTTCTAAATAGATTCTATAAATATGTAAACTTTGGTGCAGAGGTGAACAATAAAAAAGAAAAAGGAAAAAATAGTAATGCTTTTTACAAAACAGTTGATGAAAGGTACGACAATATGGAAACAACATTTGGTAGTGATACTGTAGACCTCCGTTGAAGTAACTTTCTGCAGTAGATCTTTAAAGACAACGTTTTTTGTTTCATTGTGTCCCACTGGGTCAGTACTATTTATCAGTATTTTTATGGAATCTGGTGATGTCGCTCGGGATAAGGCTACATAAAGCTGTCTGTGCGCAAAGACAGACTGTGATAAATAGATGCCAATTCTATGCAGTGATTGTCCTTAACTCTTGTTGATAGTCATCGCGTAGCAAACTTTGGCTGGAAACTGTGTTTTCGTGATAACGTGAATGGCAAATCTGATGACTTATGTATGAATTTTATGTGTGGTATATATATGCACGTTTTCCAATGCAAGTGCCAGTTATAATGGTTGCTTCAATAATGTTTGGTAACAATTGAGAGACAATCAGAACGGTACCGTTACATAAACCTTCCCTCTGATTTATGTTTCTTAACAACATTATAGGACAGTTTACTTTAAGTGTAAGCTCGTGTGGTGGTATTCCTGGAAAGTTTAGTTGGTTTAGGTATTCGATCGGATACAAGCCTTCCATATCTGATGTGTGCTTCCCATTTGGCTGCATCATGTGTGTGCTATTGTATGTCCTTCCAGCTGTCGTGACCATTTTTAAAATGTGATCATTTATGGCATCGGCTGAATCATTTATAAGAGAAACTATTGCTCTTACCGAAAGGTGTGTGGCAGTTGGATTGTTAAGGGTACCATCTCCATAAACAAAATGTATTAAGGTTTGTAGAGAGTCGGGGGTAGGTGATATTAGGAGCGAAGATGGAATTCGTACCCAACTTGAGTCTCGTGGGTCATC